GGGCATGTAAATAGATAGATAGATAGATAGATAGATAGAGAGAGAGAGAGAGAGAGAGAGAGAGAGAGAGAGAGAGATGGAGAGGGGGGAGAGCAGAGGGTGAAATAATATAAACTGGAGGTCTAAAAAGCATTATCAAAGTGATATTGCATGTTGTCACTAATGTTATATAGCACCATTTCCAGAAAGGTAACATTTATCTTCAATGTCGGGAAGCAGAGCATTTCTATCAAATATTAAAACCTATTTCTAAGTTCATTATTGGATAAAGAATGTTAGATTAAATAACTCATTTAGTAAAACATGAGAAAAAAAAACTTACCGTTCATTTTCTGTTGAATAGAACTTACCGACTAATTAGATAATTTTATCCCAGGGATACTAAATTCCGGTCTGCATAAATTCAAATTCATTGTTACAAACAGCGTTCCACTGGTCATAAGTACAGAAGAATCCCTCATACCCGGAAACTCTCATATCCGTAATCCCTCATATCCGGAATCCAGCATATCCAGACATGATTTTGATTTGTATATTTGAACTATTTGGTTGATATGTAACTGATTTAAAATTTTTGTTTTCCAGGAAATTTACTTTGGATAATTGCTTATGCTTATTTCACCCTAATGGCTTGTATTGGTGCAAAAGATGATGAGAATAAGAGGGAAAGAACAACTTATCAAAAAAAGGGGGAAATTTTAAACAGACTAGGCGCTGGTGAAAGTTCATAGTAACTAATGGCTAAGTTCAACATAGAAAAGTAAACATTTTATGATATAAAATCTTCCAAAGAAACTATTCTCCAGCGTTCACACTGTCATAATGAACAAGAAAATTGAAAAAAAAAACATGATTGTGATGAAATCTGGACTGAAATTGAAAATGCTATTGAAAAGGTTGTCAGTTTTATGGAAAGAAAACCAGCATTCAGCTATGACGATTGCAATAACACACGCAGAGTTTAAAAGCGTTTTTCGTTTAAAAAATTTCAAGAACAAAAGCAAAATGAAATGTGGAAAAAGTTGAGAATGACATTAGAAGAGAAAGAATCATCATGCAACAGCGATTAAAAAATCCTCGTTGCATTATTTGTTTTGCATACGTGGCATACTTAATTTAATGAATTTTTATTAACATTAAATAATTTATTTCTTTTTCCTTAAAATCAATTCCATTATATTTCACTCACCATTAGCTTATTTTGTTTACTATAAAACATTGAAAATAAATGTTAAACCTGGTTTCAGTTCTTTTATTTTAATCGAAATATAGCCCCTCATATCCGGACTTTATAACCAATTCCTCATATCCGGAAGGCCTTTTTAGTCCGGTTGTCAAGGATTCTACTGTAGTTACTTTGATCTTGAATCTGATCCTTTTTTTTTTTTAGATCTGGGATGTAAATTGATGTAATTCATAATTTTTTTTGAGATCTAGCTTAAGCCAGGGATGATTATTAATTATTTTGGGGGGTTTGCCGTCAGAAATAGAAAGGTTTTGCCTGACACTATCAGAAAAATGCACACAGAAAAACATTCTTGCACACGCCACATAGCACGCCGAGGTTTACAAGAAATCAGGCCCAGGACGTCTCAAAAATCTCTATGTAAGCAGAAACTTTGTAAAAAAAAAAAATAAATAAAAACACACAGACGCACACAAGACCCAACCAGGTTTATGGATTTTGATAATACTTATCGCTATATTTAGTTTGATGCTTCTGCTATGTATCTAGAGATTCTGGACAAAATTCAAGGAATCTGCAATGTTATCAATCCTGACCTGGCATCTCGATTTCAATCACTTTTCCACCGTAACATGGCTCTTCTGTACTTTTTCTATAAATACGTTCATGGATTTTTTTGTTTAGCACTTCGATTTCATAAATTTACGCGTAGCATTAGATTGGTAGCTAAGTTCCATACTTGAAATTGCTAGATATAACCGTAAGTTCTATTCTGAGAGTTTCTTCTTTAGCACTTCTTGCTTGTGGAATTTTCTTCTTTTCCTCTCAAACACGATCGTCGAACACGGTATTGCTGTCAAACGAGATATTCCTGTCAAACACTATCTTCAAAAGTTTAAATGCGACATCAATTATTTTCTTTTTGAATCCTGAAGTGGTATTATAATCTCGCCTCAATAATGTTTTCTCGGTTTCTTTGGCTCCCAGTCACCCCTGCAACCTTGTGTTGCATCAAATGAGTCTCTTTTTCTGTTTTTGCTTTTCCCCCCAGGCATCTCCACCGTAGACCAGATCACAAATGACGCAGTACGAAACACTATCAAATAAGAACCAGCTCCGTTGGAAAACCTCATAACGACCACCAGGAAGAGAAATTTGAAATGCTACAGGCACATCATAAGTGCCAACAATCCTCTGACTGTCATTCTACAAGGTGCCTGCTTAGACAAACGAAGAAGAGGCGGGCAAAAAAAAAAAAAATAAATAAAAATAAAAAATGAATGGACTGGAAGGTTACATTTACAAAATCTAAGACACGGCGCGCAACTGAGAACTCTAAGAGGGACCTGGTGAGGTGATCAGCTGCACAGTGACCCTACGACCACACCCAGTATTTGAATGATGATGATGGGCTGTGAATCAATAATACTGGGACAAATTTAGAAATATAAAAAACACGCTTTGCACACGTGCACTCTCTTCTCTCCTCTCTCTCTCTCTCTCTCTCTCTCTCTCTCTCTCTATATATATATATATATATATATATATATATATATAGGTCAATGTCGGTGGATGTGTACATGTATTTATCGGTGTCTATGTGTATGGAAAGTGCATTCACTTTTAATTATGTATGTATGTGTTTGTTTCCCCCCACTTTTTTTTTCATAAAGGGCCGTGGAGATGTTCCTGTCTCGTCGCTTTTTTGTGTATATATATATCTAAATATGTCTGGATGCTTATGTATTATAATCTGATTGTGTTTGTGTTGTTTTACGCGAGATTTTACGACCCCATTCGAGCACTTGGGATTAAAATGTATACATATTTTATTGTCGGAGGACCGGATGGCGTAACGTCTTATTCTAACGTAATTTCAACGAAGAAATAAATTGAATAACATATGTACTTCCCCTTTTCTCCTCGGTAATTTTATAATTTTAAACTTAATAGTGATTAAATTTGGATTTTAAAATTGGCAGTTTTTAATTTTAATATCAAATTCTATCATCTAATTTAATAATTATTGGTTAGAATAAATTCTTTTTTTTTTTTAAATTTTACCCGTATTTTAACGATCTGATTAGCTATTAAAACATGACTTCGTTGTCAGGCTTTTTGAATTTTCCTATACTTGTATTTTGATTAGTCATTCTAGCTTTTGGAACAACGTTTTCCCCTTGTGAAAGATCGTTAACTAATTTGAAACTTTTAAAACCATTTGTTTTGCATTCAACATCATCACTTGATAAGACACCGGAAGTGTTGAAACAAAATGGCTATTTTTGTATAACATGTTTATGTTATAAATTTTCTAAATAAATAATTATATATATATATATATATATATATATATATATATATATATATATATATATATATATATATATATATATATTTACACACTCACACACACAGACGCGCGTGCGAAAGAAAGTCTGTATTTCCGTATACAAAAGGACATATTCTCTTTTATAGACAGTCGAAAATGTACACCCAAATTTTACAAGCATGTTTTTGTAGCTTTGGAAATATATTTATTCACAACAAAGAATAATATTAAAATAAAAAAAAATAAAAAAATGAAACCAACTGTTTTTTTTTGACATTTTTTATTTAACAATAAATGTTTAAAAAAATATCACAACACAGATAATATTGGGGGGGGGGTGCAGTTTTTTTTTTTTTCTCCGGGATATGTTTTTTAGCAATGGGCATGAACTTTTAGCAAGACCAGGACTGATGATAGATATCTTTAGAACGCTGAACTGTACTGCCAGGGGAATATATTGTTATCACCAGTACATGAGATTTTGATTTCTCTTCTTATTACCATTTAGCAAACATCATTTGATCTTCTAGTAAGTCAACATCACCTGCTATCTAACCTGTTAAAGTTACAGATTTTTAACTTGTCGTCATGGAGATTACACGATGATCACATTAGTTCTTACTACCATTCAGAAGGAATGGCTTTTGCATTTCACAAATATTTATGGTTTATTTCTATTTGTTAACCCCATGACCAATAAGGACCAAACTACCGTATAGGAAATTTGTCTCCCCAGAATCGATCCTTCAAATCTACAAATCAACCATTCGCCCTTGCATGGAGTATTGCTGCCATATATGGTCTGGAGCACCTGTTTGCCTTATTCAAGTATAAATTTAGAGTGTCTTATATTCCCGTATAAATGTACAGTGTTTTATATTCCAGTATTAATTTAGAGTTCCTTATATTCCCGTATAAATTTAGAGTGTCTTATATTTCCCCATAAATTTAGAGTGTCTTATATTACCGGAAAAATTTAGAGTGTCACAGCGACATGCGGAAAAATACGTTAAATATATTTTCAAATTTTTCTAATTTGAATAGTTTACACAACTCCAAATTGCTTGTCTTTTGTATAGCTTCAGTTGGTAATGTGACTTTAAGTGTACTTGGCAAAGTCAATTGAATATGAAAGATATTTTTAAAAAGTGATACATTTTATTAAAGGTTCATATTATAATCTACAGATCATGCTAACTGTATACAACACCAAAATACAAGACATGCAGCTCACGTGGAACAGAGAGATATCGTTATGTCGAATGAATGCCAGAAAAAGACAATAAATAAACAAATAAAAAGTTACATTCGACATATCTGAAAATTTACAGAATACAAACCATATCCGAGAAAACCAGAAATCATAGGGTTTGATACGTTACGATGAAGACAATAAAGGCGTTGAAACTGGTCCGAAAAATCAATGTATAATAGTAATTCCACTCGGAAATTAAGACAAAATATCGACTCAGCAAATTCGTAATTATGTGAGTGCCTCGTTAAAAAACTGTCGTGCGACGATTCATATTCGAAGAGAGCATTTCCAGTCTGTCAGGCGAAGTAGCCTGTCCGCCATGACAGATAGCTATGTAAACTAATATTTTGTTTCGAACCTAATTTTGATGTCACGGAGGCTAGTTTGAATGGAGACCTTCAGAGAAACATGCGAATGTAAAAATTAAATACATAGCTACGTCAATGTCTTAGACCGGGGATGAATAAAACGTTTATGTTATGCAACAAACATTTTTCAACATAATATATAGCTATATATATATATAGTAGGTACATTTTTCTCAATAGACATCCATTTTTTTACAGTGAAATTGATATCTAGCGGCTTGGGCAATCGAAAGTCTTATTAAAGAAAATGTGCCTCTCAGTAGACGAAATAAGTATTAGTAGAAAAACTAATGGTAATTGTATTAAATAAAATGATAGTATTATTTAGATTTTCACATTTCAATACTTAATATAGACCATTAAACACAAAAACAGGTTGAAATAACAGATGCAACCAAATGAATGGCGTACATAAACGTTTATTCAAGACTTACATGAATTGTCAAAGAAATAGAATAAATGAAAGACATAACTCGAGAGAATAATTTAAATGAAACCGCTATTGTAAAACATTTTTATGGAAGCCATTTTTTTGTAACAAAAGAGAGATTCGAACGTAAAGTCCAACTGAGACAAAAAGAATAACAAGTGGAGTTTCTTTTACAAATTCATCCAAATATTTATCAAAATCATTTTAAACACACTCTTCAGGCATATATTCCTTTTCAGAAGAGATATTAACCAATCAAATTAAGAGATATTTTGTTGATCAACCTATCGTCTGCTTCTTGCATTATCATAGTGACACCCGTTTAATTACAACGGCCATTCACATATCTTCGGTTTGGGATCAAAACGTAGTTATCTGCCCACGGGCGGTTAAACTACATTTTATCTCTCGATTGTGTCTCTGTCTGCGGACGGAGCGCAACTGAAAATATTATTGTGGGGTACCCGGTCTTATTATCGGGTAGATAGGGAAATAACAGAGACATCCGGAAGAGGCATGACACGTGGAACTAGAACAATCTACCCCGCCGGGCGAAATAAAGGGTTCAGTTCGAGATTGCAATCACCTGAAGATATCCGGAGCGTTCAACGACCGAAACGTTGTGAATATGGCAATGAAGATGAGGATAACAGTCCGAATAATGTAAATACCCTTCCACGTTGTTCTAATGATGTGGGGTCGGAGTATACCGACGGCTGCGTGACAGTGGTCGCAAGGAGAGGAGTGTTTTTCTTTTTTGACCCAAATCTAAGCATACTGAACCCCACATTAAACTGACTTTGTATCACTTTCTATTACTGTGTGGCCTGGGAGTTAGTATCATTCATGCATCCCAAGATCCTCCATCTAAGCTCACAATAACCATGCACAACAATTATAAAATGATTTGCTGTTTGTCTTCGTTTTATTATAGACAAAAATCTTAGTGGTGTAGAAAATAACAACATTCATAACAACAAGAAACTTGCAAAGAAAATACAAAAATCAGCAAACGTATTTAGTTACATAACTAAAATTGACTAAGTTCTGATATTACTAACATCATATCAATACGTTCTTGAGTATATACTGTACTTTGAAATACAATAATCAATTGCAAGAGTCGTATATCTTGGTCTAATTTCAACTGGCTAATAAAATGGAATATTAGTAGACGAAAAAGGATACACATAAGTCTACTTAGTTAATCTCATATTGACATAGTGATAGGCGATTAGTTAGAAAGCTAGCGTTCCGATTAGGGTTCGAGTCTCATCATCATTGATTTGGAACTGTTGGGAAATACAAAAAAAATAAAATAAATAAAAATAAAATAAACATACAATTTGCCCACTGGTTTACTGGTTAATCGATTTTCCGTGTGAAACATGTTCGGGTCGTAAGTACTGCTATTCCCCAATAGAGAAAAATGAAACAATGAACGAAAATTCATTAATTCCAAGAGCTATATCCACTTCATTTTGGAGTCTTATGATATGGTTTGTTCTATTCGTTCGGAAGGCGCGAACGTTTGCTCCTTTTACCATCTTTTTTCTTGGGGGATAAAAGCACATACGGCCTGAAGATCCTTTGTTGTGAAAATCATTTAGCCAGTAAGTCTTTGCGCATAACTTTTCAGTGAAGCTGAGTAAAGACCTTCGATAGTTATGCTAGCACAAAGTCACAAGTGATTCGCGTTTACTGGGTCTGGTCATATCCCTCTAGGAGCTCTCTTTAAAGTTCATTCAAAATAGCGTTTTTTAGGGGAAAAAGACCAGAATCTGTTGCTTAAACAGTAACAAACGTAAACAAAGCAATTGTTAAAAATGTCGGACTAGAAATAAATCCATAAATATATATATATATATATATATATATAAGTTCTCAATGTCAGAGATAGAGTGTATGTAAATATAAAACTGAATACTGTCCTGAAGATTGCGTTGAAGCATGAAACAGTCTATCGCCACTTGGTGACCACAGTGTCCACTTATATATATATATATATATATATATATATATATTCTGTTTATATGTTATTCTTATAGATACAAATATTCAAGTAAATGGCCAGTTTGTAATAAACAATATTAACTACTGTTTATTGCTGTTAATACTGATTATTATAAACAAAGCATTTACATATTTGTATCCACAAAAATAACGTATAAACTGAAAATATATTAAAATGATTGTCGAACTAAGTCCATTGCATAATATATATATATATATATATATATATATGTGTGTGTATATATATATATATATATATGTATATGATGAAAGCTGTGTACTTAGAAATCCATTGGTAATAATTTATTTCACAGGATTTTACATTCGGAATTTATCATTGATGTTTGTCATATATATATATATATATATATATATATATATATGTATATATACGTAATTATAGTTATACTTTGGTAAGTGTGTAATTGTATGTATTGCTAAGATGGGATGAAATTGAGAGAAATTCGTTTTATTTTGGCTATGAATTATTGTTAAGTATTTTTGCCGGGAAATTAAAAAAAAAAACTTAGGATATGAAAAAAACAAAAAAAACAAAAAAACAAAAAAACAAATGAGACAACAGTGAAGACAAAATGTCTGATTTTAAAAATACATGGTATTGTAAAAAATAACAATCCGGAAAAATCCCATCATGCAATGGGTTTTACATCTACAAGGTCAAAAAAAAAAGTAAATAAATAAAAGGCGGGCTCAACTTACCCCAAGTAAGTTTCTTGATGTACATAGAACATATATATTTATATATATGTAAAAAAAAAAAAATAAATAAATAATGAACACTCAATATTTCAACCGGGGACATGTTATCACAAATTCAGTATTAAAAAAAACGTTATAGTTTATTATTTATTAACAATATTACAGTTTATTATTTATTTCCAGAATCAAAAATTTCGTTTTATTCACAGAAACAAAATAATAGGAATTTAGCAGGAAGTGTTCGAAGTCATTTCGGGAAAAAATTATAAAACCATATTTTTTGGTTGTTTTTGTTGTATGAGTATTGCTTCAAGGATTATAAGTCAGTTTATCAATTTTATTTGAATCATTTAAGCCGAAGCAAGGCGGGAATGCTGCTAGTAAGCGGTGTGGGGGAGTTACACAGAGTAAAAAGGAGATAAAAGATTGGGTATAAAGTGGATTGGGGAAAGGACAAAAGATGAACGGAATTCAAGAAGATTGACAGCGCATATGTATCTTTGAAGATTGTAATCATCAGGGAAGCAAGTAAACGGAAGGGAGCTCCACTGGCAGGAAGTGCGAGAAAAGAAACTGCTAGAGTAGAAATGGCGATTATGCTTAGCTATTTCAACAGTAAAAGGATGGGACCTAGATGCCAATATATATATATATATATATATATATATATATATATATATATATATATATATATATAACCTATGATGCTGTTACTTTTTAACTCCTTCGCGAACGGCGTTGAATTTTTTGAGTGGGGGTCATCAAGAATTTTGAACTTCACATTTAAGGCGATACTGAAATCCAGGATGTCCCCAAACTTCTAGCTTATAATATATATATATATATATATATATATATATATATATATATATATATATATGTGTGTGTGTGTGATGAGTTTTCCTCCTTGGTACTCCGGCTGCATGAATTATAGCGTACGACTAGATTAGCAACTAGGTTTCACTTTTTTTTGCTGTTGAAAGAGCTAGATGAAACCGTAAGTTCTATTCCAATAGTTCCTTTTCTTGCACTTCTTGCCTGTGGAACTCATATTTCCAGTTTCTTGCTTTCCTATAAACTACGTTCTTCAAAAATTTGAATTCAACATCAATCGCTATGTTGTGTCTTCCTGAAACCTGCTCTTTTATTGTCCTTTCTCCTCACAAATGTTTTCTCACTTTCTTCACTCTCGGTAACCCCCCTCGAGTCTTAGTGGCATTATCGCCTTGCTTAGAGCGAATTGATTTAAAACATGAATGAAATGAGAGACATATGAATAGACATATGAGGAGATGTGAAGAGAATGTGATAGATAAATTGATCGAGTAGCGTATAAGTACGCATAGATAGATACATAGATAATGAAGATAGATAGATGGATAGATAATGAAAAAAGATAGATAGATAATGAAGTCATAGATACATAGATAATGAAAATAGATGGATAGATAATGAAGATAGATACATAGATAATGAAGATAGATAGATGGATAGATAATGAAGATAGATAGATAGATAATGAAGATAGATAGATGGATAGATAATGAAGATAGATAGATAGATAATGAAGATAGATAGATGGAGAGATAATGAAATCATAGATACATAGACAGATAATGAAGAAACAGATAAATAGATATTGAAGAGACATATATATATATATAAATATATATATATATATATATATATATATATATATATATATATATATATAGATAGATAGATAGATAGATAGATAGAGAAATAAGAGACATAGATAGGTAGATAGATAGATAAATAGATAGATAATGAAGTGACATAGATGATAATGAAGTGACATAGATAGGTAGATAGATAATGAAGAAACATAGATAGATAAATAGGTAGATAGATATTGAACATATATATATATATATATATATATATATATATATATATATATATAGAGAGAGAGAGAGAGAGATAGAGAGATAGAGATAGAGAGGGACGGAGATAGATAGATAGATAGATAGATAGATAGATAGATAGATAAGCAAGTAGATTAGGCAAAATTGAAATGGGTGATCGTATGAAAGTAAGAAATAACAAAAAACTAAGGACACTTACACAGGTATTACTCCCCGTTTTTTTTTGTTTTTTTTTTTACTCCTACCATGATTACTGGGATGATGAGGATGATGACGATGATGATGGAGGTAGTGAGGAAGAGTGAGTGAAAATGGGTGGAGGATCTGGCGGCAAATAAATTCTCCTGGCCGGGTGGGATGAGCTGGAGTAAAAATAAGGCGAAGCGGACCAATGAAAAACATGGACACATATTCAAAACTTACTTCGAAAAAAAATGAAAAAAAAAAAAAAAAAAAAAAATAGACAATTTCATGAAAGAGAAAAACAGGAGAAAAGATGACAATGAAACAACGTAATTAAATTAAAAACACACACATAAAAACAAAATAAACAGTTAATTTGTCGACATAATCTCAGATAACGGAAACGCACGCGAATACAACAAAAAGAAAAGTCCGTCCATTGATGGAACTAAAACTTAATTTTCTAGAATAAGGAGTTATTCTTATTTACATTAAATTCAGACTAATGCCATCAGTTTTTCGCTTTTACCCATTCTTCAGCTTGAAGCTAGACTTTGTTTTTCAGAAGATGATTTGAGAAGCATGCCACGGAAGCATTTTATAGACAGTGGGATCTTGTCCCTACTACCACCGCAGGTAATAAAATTCTATAGAATATACAGTTTATAATGTACGTATATAAGCATCATATGTATTACGTATTTTAGAAGCTCCAAAAAATAAAAATATAGCTTCAAAACCAGCTGTTTGTCTACGTGGAGCCCAGGAAAGCAGATCATTTAGAGGATGGAAAACCCTGATTTTAAACCTCTGCTCTCTTGTAGTGATATCCAAACATGGAAAAGGCTATGGAAGTAAACCCAACTAGAGAATTTGGAGTGGATCCCTGAAGGCAGTTGGCTGCCAACAATGAAAATATTCCGGCAACTCCTGCAGTCAAGCCCTCTTCAAATGATATGGATTTTGTCGATATGGTCGGTATGGGGGCATGTAGAATGGGCAGCGCTTAGCTTCCATATACCATCGCCCAGGCTTACACTCAGGTGAGGTCACTCCTGTCTGATCATCAAGGACTGAATTTTGACCAATCAGGACGCTGTTTTCATCTCGCGAGATAAACGGATGCCTACGGTGTGTAGAAACTGGTCAAATGTTCCATAATTGTGTGGATATAGGAATCTACACTGTATGATGACTGTCAGTTTCACACCTTATGCAATCTTACATATTTTGGAGGTTGTTTAAGATGTTAAACTGACAGTTACCAAGCATTTATTTTTTACTGAATTTTATTCCTGTTAATAGACATAAGCAAAATAGCTTTTCGCGAAAAATTGTAACCTAATATCAATCATCGCGCGGCTAACGTTCGTTACCCTGAGTGAACATTGATCATACAACAACCGTAAATTAACATGGCATTTTAGGTCTTCATTTTTCGGCGACAGGGAATATTTAAAAGAATAAGTGATAGGAAATCTTATAATTTGGGTTTTTGCCTAGAAGCTTTCAGTTAACACCTTCAGTCAATTAAGATCAGAGGCCATGAGCGTTACATGGACAAAGTTTTTCTTAGTGTGTGGGCTGTTCTTATCAATACAATTTTTGTATTTCTCTTAACCTGGGATTTCCAGAGATTTTGTCCAATGTGTTCTCTTTTCTATCATTCCATTCGCACCTACAATGACTGGTACTATTCTTGTTTTCCATTTCAACATTTATTCTACTCCGATTTGCAGGTCTTTAGGCATCGTTATTATTATTAATATTATTATTATTGTTTTATTTCCTTTGATTTCTGGTGTATACTCATTTCTTTCCTCGTCCCAACCAGAGACCAAAGGTCAGAAATGGCATCATGACATTTTCCACTGAGCAGTTTTGAAAAAAAATATTGCACCTATTTTATATAAATAAAGCCCTTCGTAAGGCGTGGGCTGTAGTTGTGAGTACAATTCCTTTAAGGCATAAACTACCGGGAAACCCTTCATTAAGACTATTGGAATCTTTTCCAATCAGTCCGAGGACTCCAACTATAACTGGAAATTGTTAATGTCCTCATGCGCCACACTTTTTGAGATTTCGATTTCAAGGTCCTTGTATTTTTAAAGCTTTTTGAAGATCTTCAAAGATACATTGCAGTCTGTGGGAACTGCCATATCAATAACAGGCACATTTGTTCCTTACGGTATCTTACCTATTATTATTATTATTATTATTATTATTAATTCCTATTTTTTAAAATAATTTTGTTTTTGGAATATAGGTCATTGATTGTCAGGTAGAAGTATGTCCGTCAGTCAACCTTGACTGACAGAAGACATGAAAACGTCATCAAGCTGTTAAAGAAACGACATTTATACGAGAAGACAGAAGCATTTAGGTATTTATTCAGGTGAGTCTGATGAAAAGTCATTTTACTGTGTATCTAGCATCCAATCATCTTGAAAGAAGATACCAGCATTGTTTTTTTTTTTAATATTTGGATCTTATAAATATACAATAAATAAAATAATCAACAAATATCCCTTATCAGTTAAACAATGGACACCTGAAAAATGTCTCGAGGGTACTTGGTCGAAATGTTGCGTCTACAATAAGATTGATAATAATCAAGATGGCGAGAAATCAATGTATATTGATAATGCATCATCTCAAAAATGAAATATGCTATTGATGCTGGGAGTGAAAGAGAATGAAAAAATATTTCAGAAAGAACTTTAAAACCAATACTAAACAAGAAACAAGGGATAAACCTCTACTCCTGTTCAAAAAACCGGAGAGGAGGGTGAACGATAGGTGAACCTATCTACTCCTATAAAATCATGGAAAATAATACGGATGTGCCATGGCAAGTGAAACGGAAAACCAGCTAACATGCGTTTTAGAGGCACCAAAAACACTCCACTGATGTTTATAAAAATCAAGCTGAAAGCAATATTTCGAATCTATCAAACTATAAATTGCAAAACAGAAAGAACGTTTATTTTATCTGGAGGAGTTAGTTACGATGCCTCTTTACTTTAAGCAACCTCTGGCCCGCTTGCACTGGTATATCTCGAGATGGAATTATATGCGACGGGAAAGACTTTTTTTTTAAAAATCTTGCATACCAAGAAAGGCAACAAAGCCTTTAAAATACACACATAAAAAAGTTTTAAATTTCCTATACTTATAAGGAAAAAATATCAACGATAGAGCTTTCATTGATATAGAATGTGTGGACATAGGAATCCACAGTATATGACGACTGTCAGTTTCACAGACATCTTACATAAGCTGCAGGTTGTTTAAGGCGTGAGACTAACAGTTGAGAAGCATTTATTTTACTGAATTTTATTCCTGTTAATAAACAAACTCTCTTCCTAATTTGAATGTGACCAAATGTTTTGTTTAAATATCCAAGTATTTGCTTCGTTAGAGCGACAAGTAGGTTTTACGCCTTGCATACGGATGACATACAGTTGTGCAAGGTGGGGACTTTCAACTAAACGAATTATTTCATATAATTATTACAGACCCCTTTCTTGAGTGGAATCCCAAGCTCTCCTTACCAGACGAGCCACGGCAGCCACTTACAGTAGTATTATTTGAATAAGGCGTTGAAACGGTTAAGTCCGGGTAGCAGTATCATTATGAGACACATCAGCGATTCTAGTAGAAGTTGCTGTTGTCCAGGAGGCAGTAGAGGTGATAGTTGATTTAACTCTAGCAAGGTAGTCGTCAAAGTAGACACGGTATTGGCAGTAGTGCTACTGGTTAGAATAGTCATACTGGTATCGACAGTGGCTATTGAAAATGGTTGGGTACCGATATATCTCAAATGGCGGGCAGGCTTTAAACCTTAACGTAAGATTTTTTATTAGGCGTTTTCTTGTAAAATATGCAGTATTAAAGCAGTATAAATCTTGAACCCTGCGATATATTGCAGGGTTTAAGATTTATACTGCTTTGATAATGCGTATCGCTACTGTTTAGTGCATTCTACTTACGGTCATTAGTTCTGGATTTTAATTTCTGGTTCCGATGGGACAAAGTAAGATGATCCCCTTGAAAACGAACGTCATGTAAACGGTAGTGTGAATTATTCCAAATAATCCAACATTACGTCTTGGACAATGTATTCTATCCTTATACAAAGGGTAGAATCTGTTAACTTTTCACCTGGACATTTTGAGAAAAGCTGACATGCCGCATAGAGTTTATGGTGGTTGATTTTATTTAGTGTTATATCAACACCTCTAGGGGATTTTTATTGCCAAAATCTAAATATTTTGAAGACAATTTTATGACTAAATATATTTTGAATGCAGTTTTATGTTTTCAACTAGAGATAAAATGTATTTTCGGTCATTTTGCTATAAACATGTATTTTGGTCATTTTTTTAATATAAAAATGTATTGGTGGTCTTTTTTACATAAAGATATATTGCTAGTATCTTTAATGGATTTTTATACTTTCATAATTTTATTTTTGTTTAGGGGTTCACCATTTGTCCATAGTTGGGACCCTAACAGGTGTTACCACCCCGGATCAGGGTGGACCTAGGAACAACAGTAATTAAGAGGTGGTTTAAAATAG